GCTGGGTACTCATTTTAGCTATGGAAGGACGCAAGGCTGAATGGACCCTGGAGCCCTTTTCCAAATGCATTGGAAACAGTATCATGTGCTAGCTCAACTATGCTGCACGCATTTTACTTATTCTGTTGGCTTATCTCTTTTATTGGCAATGATTGGAAATGATAACAACCTTCCAATTGTCTGGATTTAGAAGAGACAGTCCCTGTTAATCCTTTGCTGTCCCACCTTTTCAGCTCCTTTAAAAATGTCCCAGTTTCTCTCGCCTCCTCCCATTTCCCCCCTTCGTTCTCAGCTTATTTCAGTTGTTGCAAACTCACAATCACACTCAGGGTGGCCAGGCATCCTCCTTTTTCCAGGACATGTCCTACATTTCAACCAGGAATTGAAAAATGCTCTCCATTTTGAGCATAACCAAGAAACATGGATTTATATTTATATTAGTGTTTATAGCTTTTATTTTGTAATGTCCTACAATTTCCTTCAATGCCCTACATTTCATGATGACTTGTCCTCCTTTGTGGTTAGGACAGCTGCTCCCTCTGATCATACTATACTGCTATAGCACTATTGTTCTGCTTTTAAGGATTATAGCAGCCTTCTGGGGAAGTCAGAGGATGTTTTCACACGGGGCTTTAGGAGGACTCAATCCTACCTCCGTCCGGCCCCACTCCGGCTCCATTTCCAGCTCGTTCACACATGCGCGGTGGCAAACCCCGCCCCTTCTGGTGCCATCCCTGCGTCCGTCCGGCTCCTTGCTCCGTGCGTTCAAACGCACAGAGCCGTAAGTCCGGCCTCACTCCGGCTGAAAGACCTATAACTCCGGCTTCAGCGGCGGAAAGGTAATTCCGGGTGTCAAAAGGAATTAGCCTGCCGCCGCCGGAGCCATTCCGAATCAGTGGCATGGCCCGTTCCGGAATGGCTCCACCCGGCTTTAGGGAGGGTAGTTTGAAAATGTCCAGAGATTTGTAGGATAGTGAGGCCTAACAGCTGAGAATTCTACATGCCCCTCCCAAAACTGCAAATCCCAGGATTCCACAGGAGGCAGCTGTAAAGTGGAAGAATAGCACTATAACAGTGTATTGTGATGTTCAGCTTAAAGAACAGACCTGCTCTGAACAAATCTTGCCAAGAAAAAAAAGCATAATAGGTCCCCCCTTAGGGTTGTCGGAAACAACCTGAAGGCACACAAAAACAAAGTACAAAAATATTTTACTTTTATCAGGAGCCCTGGTGGTGCAGTGGTTAAATGCTGGTGTTGCAGCCATTCACAGCCACAAGGTTGTGAGTTCGATCCCAGGCCACTCCAGGGTCCCCTCAGCCTTGCATCCTTCCATAAGTCACTAAATGAGTGCCCAGCTTGTTGACAATTGGCTTACACATTGTAAACTGCTTAGAGCAGGGGCCAGCAACCTACGGCCCGCGGGCCAGTTCTGGCCCAGGTCCCGGCACTTACCAGCCCAGGCGGACCCCTGCCGCCACCGCCGCCGTGCGGCCGCGCGCACCACAACTGCCATTTGGATTTCCAAAATGGTGACCGCGATACATTTGTGCATGCGCAGTACTCCTGCGCATGCACAAACGCGTAGTGGCCGCCATTTTTTAAATCAAAATGGCAGCCGCGACATGCGCAGAGGCTGAGGCAGCTGCGCGCACACGGGGGTTGCGCACAGCGGTGGGGGTTGCGCGCCACCATTCCCCCCCCTCAGCCCGACAAAGGGGAGGACTTCGGGGGACCAGCCCCCAGCTCAAAAAGGTTGCCTACCCTTGGCTTAGAGACTACTTAGTTCAGTATGAAGTGGTATAGAAATGTAAATACTCTTGCTATTTTACATCAATTAACTCAGCAGGGGAGAGTTATGCCCTTTCCAGTAGGCTCAGGCAAAAGCAAAGCACTGTGGCCTCTCCTAGCTTATTTGTTCTACCTCACTGATAACTTTTGCCATCTTGACCAGACTCTGATGTTGCTTGACCACCTATTTCAAAGTTTTCATCTGAAATGATGGAGGGTGTGATACATATCTGTGTATGTGTGTGTGTGTGTGTGTGTGTGTGTGTGTGGTTGTGTGCCTCCAAGTTATTTCTAACATATGACAAGCCTAAGGCCAACCTATCATGGGGTTTTCTTGGAAAAAATTGTTCAGAGGAGGTTTGCTATTGCCTTCCCAAGGCTGAGAGCATGTGACTTGCCCAAGGTCACCCAATAGGTTTCATGGCCAAGCTGGGAATCGAACCCTGGTGTCCAGGGCTTAGTCCAACACTCAAACCACTATGCCACACTATATAGAGAGTAACTCTGGATAATATTTCATGCATATATTTGTGCAGTAAAGGTTCCTGGTGATAGTGGAATTACATATCAATTGAAGAAAATATATTTATTATTTTTACAATCCGCAAAACTGTAAGCTATAAGAAACAGGCAGTACAGTATATGCAGTGGATCAAATCGGGAGTGCATCCATGTTCTCTCATAGCTTGGGCAAGTCACTTTGGACTACTGGTCCTGATGTCTGGGTTTTTTTGGGAGCTGAAGTCCAAAAAAGTGACTTTTCCATGCTCTCATCCCTCTCCATATGTTAATCTTTAGTTTCTCTTTGCTCCCTACCACCAGCAATAAATACACTATGGCTTGCGGTCAAAGGAATAATTGTTCCTCTTCTTTTGTAAACAGATTTGCATGTTTTTTTCAAATGACTGAAAGAGCTTAACGATTAGCAACATCCAGCTGTTGCTCGAACGATTCACGTAAGTTTGCTCTCGTATCTCCTTTTATTCCACTGCATGTCCTTTCTTGCCAGGGCATTAATATAGACATATATACATATAGGGCTGGTTTTACACACACATGGAGGCTGGCATATACAGTTGCAGTATATTTTAAGCTGCTTATCTCAATTCTGCAAATATTTCTAGGTCAAAACCGCTGCGCTTTGGTCCAAAACCAGACAGACCAGCTTTTCTGTGCTGAAGAGGCACGTTAAACCAGGTCACAGAGGCGGATGGATTTTTGGAAGATCTAACTCAGTTCCAAAGAAGTGCAGATTGGTTATGGTCTGTCTCTCTTTTCTTATTGTGACTTATGAGATTGTTATTTTAAGAAGGTTAGGGAACTCAGTGTTAGGGAACCCAGAGCCTGGGTAGTGTACTGTTTGAGCATTGGACTACAATTCTGGAGACCAGGGTTCAAATCCCAACTTGGGCAAGGAAACCCACTGGGTGACTTTGGGCAAGTCACACACTCACAGCTTC